ATGCATTCTTCCCCTCCCCCCCAGCAAACACAATCCTATATCAGAAGAATCAAAACCTGGAAATAACAGAAATACCCTCTGTTCTTGCTTCGATTCCTGCCATAGGCCAATAAAGGGTGCCCTTGAGTTCCCTTACAGCAGCTTCTGTTCAGGGAGGTCTGTTGGCACCCTGCAAGCTGACCAAACCTTTCTACCTCACCTTGGCAGCTTGTTGGTGACAGGACTCTTAAGAAGGAATTTTAAGCCCTATCAAAATTGTAACTATGGCTCAGTCATGGGTTCCCTGTCTTTGATCAGTTCATTTAACTTACCCATACCTCATTTTCTCCATCTGTCCAATATTTTGAGTACATTTAGATGTACAGGTGCAAGGTGTAGCATATATGCAAAAGGAGTATCCCGATAAAGGACAAAACCCTAAGTAGTAGTATTGTCAATACGCAGTGTATTAGCCTGCCATATGACTGGATAACTATATTGCCCATTCCCTCATTTACTTTTTCTTATTGTATTCTTGTTTCCTCTTGTTGTGTTCTCATTTTGTTTTAGGGCCTCATTCTGGAAACAGTCTTTAAAAGTAGGTCCACTACATCCAGTGACATAAGATATACAAATATTTCATTGGCGAGAGCTTGCCTTTCTCTAAATGATTAAAAAAACTGTACCTGTGTGGCAGAATATAAATAATAGCTTATCACCTTTATCAGAGGTGTAAATGGATGCAGTTCTGTTTCTTAATTTGTATGATACAGAAATGTAGTGGTAATTTTACTCTTTTTGAATTATCCTTTAGTCCTTTTTTACAAACCTTTTCTCCCTTAACCCCTGTAATGTCCATAACACATACTTCTCCACCACTTGCAAAAGGAAGAAAGGCAATCTCCCAGGTCATCGTTAATTATTTGTTTTGATCAACTGACAGAGGATATTCAAAGAGTGTGGTCATCTTCATACTTTGAGAGATTGCGATCCTGCCTCAGTAGTCAAGTAGGCCGTAACTGGTAGTGATCTGCCAGAGCTCGCTTGACTTTCATGATGCTAGTTACTAGAGTTTGGAGGTCAGTATTACCATACTCTTTTGTGTTGCATCAGGCACGATGAAAAATATGGTTTTATGTGACCGAAAGCAGAAGTAAGTTAATTTCATTCTGAATATAGACAGTTGGAAGCCAAAAGACTAGCTTAATAGTAGATAGAATATAGACCCAAGGACTTCATCCTCCTTCCTAGAATGATTATTGTACTGTTTCTCTCTTTGCAACTTCATATATAAACATTGAGGTCCCCTTCTGCATCCTGCATGTTGCTATTTTCATTACTTAATAAAGGTAGAATTCTGGACAAGGCAGAATTTATTTTTGCAATATATTAATGCTGTACTTTGTTCCAGCAGTTTCTGGAAGGGATGATAAACTGCTAGGAGGAGTAAGTTTATACATTAGTGGCAAAAAGGCTTTGCCAATAAATCAAAGAATATGTAACTGAGACACAAAGATAAATATGTTTATAGTTGGTAACCATGGATGGTGGCTAAAATACAGTTATTTTTCACTGTCTCCAACAGTGTTGGAAGATATTTTGTCAATGGGAGGTAGAATCCTTTTTAAAACTGTTGTGTGCTGTCTGCTACAAGTACCATGAGGAACTCAATGCTTTGTGTGGGGGTTTTATTACTTGGCAAGTATCACTATGACTAAATCTCAAAAGACTGCTTTTGAAAATTGCATTTATTTATATATTATAATTCTTGTTTGCCAGGAGAATAATCAAACCATGTATGGTCTGTATTTGTAAAATGCATCTAAGCAGTTTGCTAAACATTACTGGAAGACTGTTTAGCTGTAAATACATTCACTTACTTGTCAGAACTTGGAGTTCTCATGTTAATCATGACAAGTATGTACAGGAAGGAACTGACCCAGTCTCTGCTTATAGTCCTGCCCTTCAATCCCAATAACATCTGCACTGGATTTTCTTCCTTTTTTATATAATAAGGTCTGTTGATGTTTTCTTAATATTTAACATAGTGTGACAGGTTACTCTGAAAGTACAAGCTAAATATATTTCAAGAGTCAGCAAGCCTGGGAAATATGTAATGTAACTATTCAGTTTTTGCTAATGATACTTTATCTGGAGATTACAAACTATTCACTTAAAAATCAAGGTAACATATTTAATGCAGTGAAAATCCTACTCACTTTTGAATTTCTTAGAATGTTACATAATTTTTCATTTAAGGAAAAGAGGAGTAATTTAGTAATTTTATAATTAGTTTATACAAAGGCCAGTGCCAAATGAGATGTTACAACACATGAACAGACCCAAATTAATAAATAATCTTACTTATATGAAGAAGAAATATAATTAGAACCAGACTTATTGTAAACTAAACATAGTTGATTGTAAGTCCTTACTTTGGAACTGTAATCACTGTCTGGCTATGTGAGAGAAAACCAAAGGATCATGTTTTGATTGTGAGATAATGGAATTGTATTTGTAGCACAGGACAACTTCTACCTCATAACCAGAACTCTCTGAATTAGGTCATGCACACTTCATCAAACAGCAGACCTAAATTTTTTACCTAAAGTGATTTACTACTTTAAGTGATTTGTTTTATCAAGGTAAAAAGGACTGTTTCTAATCAACCTCTACAGTAATCAGTGTAGGGAATGAAAATCCAAGAGTTTCAGATGCTTACAATAAATCTACAACTTCCTGGTTCATGGAAATTTTTAGTTATCAGGCCAAAACTGAATTCCATGCTTAGTGGAGATTTGGGCTTTAGCATTTGTGAAATCTCACCTTGAGATGCCTACGTATGACCTTATGAGTTTACCCTCCAGTTTTTACTGAGTATTTTGAACGCTGTGTTAAAGTAGAACAAGCCAAGTCCTCAGCTACTGTACATCAGGGTAGATCTAATGATTTGCTGGAGCTGTGCTGATTTACAGCAGCTGATGATCTAGTTTGTTACATTCAACATACTGGCCGGGCTATAGGAAAGTACAACTAATGTTTGTCATAGGATAGTCATACACTAATGCTGTAGGAGAACTGGATTACTTTAAATCTGTGGGTTTTGGTCTAATCTGAATCATGCAAAAATATTGTCATGTTCTTCCTGACAAATATGCTCCAACATCAAAGACTTGTCATTGCCCAATTCTGCTGCTTAGCTTTAGTATTGCCTGTTGCAAATAAATTTGAAATAAATACGAAATGTAAATCAAACATGTTAAAAGCATCATGTATGGTATTTTAATCAGTTTTTCTCTGATGGGCACTTTTAATGTACAAGACAAGCACATATGTCCAGTTTTCTACCTATCAAGTGATTTTTACAGTTTTACCAAGGAAAATTCAATGAATGAGTGTGGTGTTTGTCAGAAAATTCACTTGAACTTTTCTGGGGTTATTTGATCAGCTGTAGTTTTGCACAGTGCCTTCAGCTGACAGTTAATGTTTGTTTTACACAGATTTCTACTTGCATGCCCATGGATTCCTACTTGCATGCCCAAACTTAACATTTAAAATCCTTCTTCTCTTCCTCAGTGTTTGATTGTTGGAGGTGGCCCATGTGGTTTGAGGACTGCCATAGAACTTGCCTTCCTGGGAGCCAAAGTTGTAGTTGTGGAGAAGCGGGACACTTTTTCAAGAAACAATGTTCTGCATCTGTGGCCTTATACAATCCATGACCTCCGAGGTCTAGGAGCAAAAAAATTTTATGGAAAATTTTGTGCAGGCTCTATTGATCATATCAGTAAGTATGAATAATTACATAAAATACACTGTTCTATTATACACTTTCTGTTAAGAAGGCATGCTTTGGGAAGATTATCAGATTTCCTAGATTCAGGGACTGAAAATATACCTGTCCTGAATGTACATAAAACAAAAGTAAAACACATTCAAGCACTTCTAGTTTGGCAAAATGCTAATATCTGTCTTGAATATTAAGGAAAACTTTGAGTTGACTTTTCATTACTGTTCAAGATCAATGTAGGAGGATCTTACTGCCTTTCTGAGTGTCTTCTAAAAATCATAGAAGTTTATACAGTTGTGTGATTGCTTTTGTTGCTTAGTCTACCAAGTTCAGTGCATGCAGGTATCTTACGTGACAGGAAAAGGTTATGGGTCATATCCTATTCCACGTGTTAAGCACCTAACTGGGATCCTATTCTGCCTTGCTCAAGTCTCTGAAAAACAACACTCTTACTTTTGTCATAGGCCATTATCTTAGTTTTAAGACTAACTCACAAAAAGCGGCAAATAGGAGAAGGACCCCATCACTTTTTCCCCCAAAGACTCAAGCAAGGTGAAATAGGATCACACTTCAGATGCCTAAGTCCACTTAGGTGCCTAATAGGTGGAATGGGATCTGGCCCATGCATACAAAAAAGACAAGCAAACAAGGAAGGATCAAGGAGACAAAGCACAGTAAATCAAAAATATTATGGAAACCCAATATACTTCCAAACTCTTTTATTATAGTAGGGTTGTAGGTACCACCAGTAGCTACAGAGGCTCAAATTACACTCAGTTTCAAGCAGAGAGGAGTAGGAAGCTGCTTGAATCAAATGCAGAAAGGGACATGATCCAGACATGAAAGGGCAGTGAGCTTATAGGAGGGACTGGGCAAAGAGAATGGAACTAGGTTGAGAAGACTGAGTAATGAATAGAATGCTGGGACTACCTAGGTAAGAGGAGTGGGACGGGGAGGTGGGAGAAACAAGAATGGGAGAAGATGAAAGATGGAATGGGGCCAAAAAGAGGTCAGGTTTTGAGAGCCTAGGTAGGAGAGTCCATGCCCCCTAGCTCACAGTTTCTCCTTGGGGTTTGGGGTTGAACCAAAGCATCATGTGTGTGTCTCTTTCCCCTGCTGTCAGCCAATACCAGTGACATGCAATTGCAATATGGCTCATCCTTATCTAGTCCCAGTCAACATAAAGAATTATAAACTATTAGTGTTACAGTTTGCTCTGTCTGTGGCAGAGGCATATTTAGGAGATCTGAATATTTCAATCTGGCTGATATGTGCACATCCATGTGATGCCAAATGATGGAACTTCTGCTTTTTCGGTTACCATATTTACTTGTATACCACACGCATATCCCTCTTCCACTCCAAATTAGCTATCCAATATTGGGGTGCCTATTTTAAGGTAGAAAATTGATTTTCATGCTTGAATGGAGACAGAGAGATGCTGGAATGGCTTCTGGGGGCTCTGCTCCTCTTCCCAGTTGCATGCAGGCATCCTTCTCAGTGTCACTTCCCCTGTCCTTCCTAACAGTGTAAGTGTCAGAGTCCTGCATGTGGCCAATGTTCAGCCATGGTGAGACCCTACTGTGACAGGCAAGATGCTGGAAAAATCTTGTTCTCTTTATTCTGCCTTCCCAAAACAATGCGTCGTCTTTGAGGGCAAGTAGCACACAAGAAAATGTCAGTTTTCTGCACATCATTTTTTTTAGTTTAAAAAAAAAAAAAAGCTATTTTAAAAGAACGTTATTACACTTAGGAAGTCAAGCAAACAAGAATGAGGAAATCCCAGGAATAATTTCAACTCTGTTCAAGTCCTTTGGTATATGTATTATATCATCTTTTATATGTTCACATACTACATTTTCCACTACTCCTCTGATCTGCTACTCAGTATTTTGTGCAATGCACAACAGGCTATCTGATTTACTGCGCACTATTCAAACCTTACTGTGAGAACAGAACTGTTAATTGCTTCATGTACCTCTGGTATGAATGGATTACATTATTTATTTTCACAATGCTTATTTAAGATGCACAGATTATATTTCCGTTGAGGGGAGGGGAACTGAATACAGAGAGCAAGACCAGAAATATGTGTTAATTATACGTGCCCAGTTTGGGCTGCCTAGGACCTTTTTATATGTTAAACCATGGACCTCATAGTTGTTAGTTGCAATAAGATTGATCAGCAGATTGTATCCCAGGGTCTCCCTTCAGGTATGAAAAAAAAACCCCTAGAAAAACATTATTAACCACTTATGAAAATTGTGGCTTGTTGTGCATTTAACAACTGTACAGAGGAGGAAATACCTGTTTTCCCAGGAAATGTCCCAACCTGGAGGCCATCTATTTTCTTTCATTCACTACACACCTTTCAACAAATAAGCAGAGAATAGATAACAGCTGACTTACTATGTAAGCCTAATTAATCTCCAGAATGGGTATGACCTGTGTCTGAATAAGGCATGGTGCTCTCTGGAAAAGGTACGATAAAATGTGAAAATATAATGCATGTGCGCAAAGAAACTGATTTAAGAGTGTGCAAGCAACCTTTTGTTTTGGCATATTCTTTTTCAAGTGGTTGGGTTTTCAAACTGAAAGTCTGTTAATGTAGATTTTGAGTATAATATATTGAGGTAGGGAGGCCTTACTTTGATCCAGTCACTGAAACTGAAGAAGGTTAACCAAATCTTTCAGACACCAAAAAACTCTGAAAACATGTTGTGTTATGGTTTGGTTCATGGCACAACATGTATTTCTGATCTGTAATGGAGGCCTGCAAGGGCTACTTAAGTTCAGTATAATAATAATGAAAAAAATGCTGTTGCATCTTCTCGAGCGATGTATGTCTATTATTATTTTCAGGTATTCGGCAGCTTCAGCTTATCCTGTTCAAAGTAGCACTTATGCTGGGGGTTGAAATCCACGTAAATTTAGAGTTTGTGAAAGTTCTGGAACCGCCTGAAGATCAAGAAAACCAAAGTATGACAGTCTTCTTATAATTTGAAATAAGTTATTTTAGAAGCAAATACATTTATCTCACTGAAGAACTTGTATGAAATAACTGTTATCAGGGGCATTGTGTGAAATAATTTCTTAGGCCATCCAAGGGATGTTTTTTTGTCCTGCATATGAAAGCCAGATACAGTACATGAGAATAGTAAGCGTGATAAAAGTCACTATGTCAATACACTGGTATTTAAAAAACAAATACCTTCCGGCCAGAAAAGTAATATTTCCTCCTGTGCCTGCTGGCCTATGTTCTGAGGTTTTGTAGAGAGTCAGATATATTTATTTTATAAAAACAAATATTATATTCTTTGCATTATTGTAAGTGAAGTGTCTTTCTTGGGAAATGCAGTTTTTTGGCTAGATTGGATTTTCCCCTTCTTTGTGGTAGCTTAATGTGAATGTGCTCAGTTTAATTTAAAAGGATAAAAAGTTACCAAGGCCCAATCGTGCAAACATTGTATTTGATATGTCCTGCTTGGTTCATAGTGCAGCTACTCATGTAAGCAAAAATCCTTTTGTACCTAAGTGTTTACAGGGCTGGTCCCAGAGCCACTTCAGTGCTTTAATTCACCCAAATATAGGGGGTTCATTCGTTGCAACTGAGAGTTGCATACTGCTTTGACTTAAGTCAAAGTTTTATCTACCCATGTAAGGGCAGAATTTCTCCCAGCTTGAGAGCAAAATAGAGCATTTAGTGTAATTGCCTTCTTTCACAATCTAAAAATGCTGCTTCTGCCATTCAGTGGCTGAATAAATGTTGTCACCTGTTTGTTTCTTTTAGAGATAGGTTGGCGTGCTGAATTTCTTCCAGTGGATCATCCTCTGTCAGAATTTGAATTTGATGTTATTATTGGGGCAGATGGCCGCAGGAACACATTAGAAGGTAGGTGAAAATATATTCTTGAGACTATGGTGGGGGCGATGTTGTAACCATGATGGTCCAGGAAAAATGAGGGGCAAGGATTTTTGTGGGTAATATCCTTTATTGGACCAACTAAATAATTGGGAGGGACTCTGCCAAGCTTTCAGGTATGGCTTTACCCTGAGGAAGGTAGGGTGGTACTCAAAAGTTTGTGTATGTCCCCACCCAACTATGTGGTTTGTCCCATAACATAATTGCCCACAAAATTTCTTCTCTCCCACATTCTTAAGATTAACAATTGCTTTAAAGTACAATTGGAAGTCTAAGAGGTAAGAAAAGGTGGAAGTAACAGATTAACCCTCAGTTCAATAAAGATCTGTGTCTGTGATGATGGAAATTGATTTTATGGGATGTTCCTTCCCTTTATTATAGTATTTCCAGATGTGGTCCATTAAGTACAAAGTTTAACTTTAACTTTATTCCTGATTCTGCAGGCTGCCTGTATCATACATTTTAGCTGTCTTAATGAGCTACTGTTGTAGCATATGCTAAATAACATGCTAGTTTAATTTGAGGGCAAATGACAAAAGCATGTCAGGAACTGCACATTTTTCATGTAATAGTGTCATAAATCAACTCTCTGTACTTGAAATAATGATTGTACAGTAGCTGCCAGGTATTTAATAAATGCATCAGAGCAGTTGCTCTCAGATGGTGGTGATGTCATTTCAGTAGCAGTCATTTTGGTAACAGAACCAAAAAATTAATAAAGAGCTGGAAGGAGAGGTAGATCTTGTTGCATCTACTACAGTCATCAAGCAGAATTCCACTCCATTGAGTTGCCCCTAAGTGAGACATTAGCTAACCAGCTCTTACATTACATGAACAAACCTGTTTGTTTAATTATATATTTTCCTTATAGTGATAATTACGCTCATCAGTTTCAGTGCATGAAGCCCCTGATTTTCTATTTTTATTGGTCTCATGTTTTGTACTGCTTTTTTCCCATGTTTGTAAAAATCAGTATATTTATGAGTATTTTCCTGTAACACTTTATAAGAAAATTAGCCACTTATTTATCCCAGTATAAAGTCTATTGAAGTAAAAATAAAATCTCTAGAAGTATAAGTTGTTGGAGATTACAGACACTAGCAACAAGCTTGACAAATGGCTTTAGGAAAATCTTTAGCTACTTGAGGGGAATATCTTGTTAGACTAAGGGCATTAGTATAAAACCAAATAATGCTTGCACATTACACCTGTTAAAAAGAAAGGGTAAGATGGAAACTACAAGTAAACTTGTACCCATGGAAAGTGCCAAGAAACAAAGAAATTTACCGTAGGGTAGCATTTTCTGACTGTCTCAACCGAAAGTCATAACTTCTGTAGGTTTCTGACTTAAAGCATTTTCATAGTTTCATAGTTTGTAGGGTCAGAAGGGGCCTGAGCAGATCATGAAGTCCGACCCCCTGCCTTGGCAGGAAAAAAGTACTGGGGTCAAACGACCCCAGTAAGGTGTTTTGTCTAGCCTTGTCTTAAAGACCCCCAGGGTAGGAGCCAGCACCACTTCTCTTGGAAGTTGGTTCCAGATCCTAGCCGCCCTGACAGTGAAGTAGCGCCTCCTGATGTCTAATCTGAATTTACGCTCTGCCAGCTTGTGACCGTTATTCCTAATCACTCCTGGTAGTGCTCGGGGGAACAGGGACTCCCCCAATGCCTGCTGGTCCCCTCTGACTAGCTTGTAACAGGCTACTAGACCCTACCCAATTTTGCAAGGTCCATGCCCTTCAAACATGCATATGCTCAAGTTGACCTACAAGAATGTTTCCATCAATGTTGATGGGGATACTTAGGGTCATAAACTCCCAGCATATATGTTAGCTGGATCTGAGTCTAAGGTTGCATTCTTGAAAAAGCAACTGGCTTGAAATAAAACCAGAGTATAACTTAGCATGGCAGTCCACCTAGCAGCCCACCAGTTGCAGGTGCCCCCCAAAGGGTTAAACTCCTCCCCCTTTGCTCTTCCACTGCTGTTGCTGTAGTCTCTGAGCTCCCCACTCCCTCCTCTGAAGGAAGCTTCCACTACTTACCCCGTCAATGTGGCTTTCAGGTCTGAGGGAGCCTGTGGTTGAGTACTTTGGGGAATTGGAAACCCTGAGTGGCATCTGTGTCACTGCAATGCAGAGGGAGTCGCTTGCTGTGTGGCAGGGATTGGTATCCTAGCAGGACTACATTGTATATCACTTCCACACATGCAGGGAGCCTGTGAGGAGCTGTATGTCCATGCATCAGGTCACAGGGTGCATTGGGGATTCATGCAGGATGTCAGGGCCTGTGTAAGGCAGTGGTGCTGCAAGGAAGGGATTTCACACTGCTTTGGGGAACCATATGCTGCAAAGCTGGGGAGGGGCGATTGATTGTGCAGCAAATTGAGGGCCATGTGGTAGGCTGGTGGGGAGGGGGACTCGCATGGTGTGGCATATGACCCACGCAACAGGCAGCCCAGGGGTGTGTGACTGCATGCCTGTGGTCCCCAGCCACTTGGAAGTTGGACAGCCCTGATTTAAACTATTGAGTAAATCAGTTGCATATTGCTGAGTATAAATGACTGAAATGTTGGGCATTTTACATATGCTCCGGGGGTGGGGAAGGACAGAGATGCTCTAATTAAAGCACCTGGAGCTTCTTGTGCATCAGTGCCCCCACACTTTAAAAATGGCGGCAGGGACACTTTTATCTAAAGCTTGTTGAATGACCTCCAGTTAAGGTGCCCCAACAATCATTTTGAAGCATAGGGACACTAATACATGAAACGTGGAGCCTGGCTGGAGTGCAGTAATTACTATGCTCCAGCAGACTTGATGAATCGAGCCTGCTCCAATGCACTGGAATTACAGTGTGTTGGAGCAGCCTCCTGGCTCATGTGCAGGCACCCTCAGTTAGCTTTTACAAATGCTTCTCTCAGTTTTGAGCCAGATTATTTTAAGTCTTTTTCTAATCATCATATTTGCTTTTACTCCTTTCCCTGGAGAAATAATTAACATCCATGAGTGGTAAAGCCTTACCCATAAAATGCCAACTTGTGAGCAAACTGTACATATCTTCAGTACTATGTAATCCCCTTGATTGGCAGATTTTTTTGAAAATAAGAATATACTGAATTAATGGGATTTTGGTAATAAGGAGTCTGCTTCCCATGTGTTGGGGATAGAATTAGGTCAGGAAGGAAAGAGAGCTGCCATGTAGGTCTTTATCTCCAGCTCATGTGCTGAAATTTTGCAATGTTTTTAATTATTTTCCTTGGTCTTCAGGTTTTAGAAGAAAGGAGTTCCGTGGAAAACTGGCTATAGCTATCACTGCCAATTTTATAAACAGAAACACCACTGCAGAAGCCAAGGTAGAGGAAATTAGTGGTGTTGCTTTCATCTTCAATCAAAAATTCTTCCAGGATCTTAAAGAGGAGACGGGTGGGTCCTTCCTTCCCCTATGCACCCCGCCCCCCCATCCTACTACCAAACAAAATATACAATTGAGAAACATTTTTTGTACGGCTATTCTTTTGACACCAAAACTTCAATTAAAATAATTTAGTAAAATATGGTGATAAAATTCTGCTGATTTCAAAGCCTTGGGGAGGGAGGCATCTATTTTTGATACAGTGAGATTTTTTTAACATGAATGTTGCCACAGCATGTCTGTTCTAGTGTTTGCATTCTTCTCAACTGTAAAAAAATATGTTTGAAACCAATGATAACTTTTTGAGGGAGAACAGTTCCAGTGCCCAGAGATTTCCCTGAAATAGGACACGGTTTGTTTTGAATGTATTGGATTACATGTTTTCATGAAATATAGCCCTCCTTCTTGCAGGTGTTGTGGTCCAATTAGTATAATTTTCATATATTTGCTTTTAAAGGAATTCACTATAAGTATTTAAACAATCTGTCTTGAATTGAAACATCATCCATGAAACAGACAGACAGACCAAGAATTGAACTGCATTCAAATTGACTGATGCACCACATGAGTACGCGTATCTGGCTTATGCATATTACAGTCTTTTTTTTTTAAATTAACATTTGATAATTATTTATTTAAAACAGTTGTTTTTAATTAGTTATGGACTTGATCATGCTTGGGTTTAATTTTTTGTGAGGTTGCTGGAGCCAAGGTGGGTGGCACCTCAGACTAACTGATTCAGGGAATTGTAAGCTTTTGTAGGTGACAGCCTACTTCATCAGGTGCTATGAATTCACAGGAGTCTTCTCATATTTACTAATGTCTTCTTTTCAGGAATTGATCTGGAGAATATTGTTTACTATAAAGATAGCACTCACTATTTTGTAATGACTGCAAAAAAACAGAGTCTTCTGGACAAAGGAGTCATTATTAACGTATGTATACATGCCAGACAGAACCTTTTACTGTATTTATTGATTTTATGAATTTGGTTTAAAAATACATAAGAGCAGCTGAATAAATATTTATTCATGTTACAGAAGGTGTAAATTGACTAGCCTAATCGCTTTGTGATTAGAGTACAACTCACTTAGATGGTGCTCTACATGTGCAAGAGAACTGAAAATGCTATTTGAATTTGTAATTTCAAAAACTGGGTGAAATGTGACCGTGAGTGAACCTGCAAGAGTGATTAGCTGTGCCAGCATTGACCTCATTAAAGATAAAAAGCCTCAATAACTAGGGACCAAATTGGGTGAATCTGTGTAAGCTCAATAAAGCCGTTGATGTTGTCTGTTCAGTTGTCTAAATTGGGTAATTATAAAGTTGGCCAAAATTTCCAAAATAACTACTAATTTTTGGATGTCAAAACAGACATCTTATGAAGCATGCATTTTCAAGAAGGTGAATACTTGACACTTTCTGAAAATCAGTCCTCTTCAATGTCTCTCTCATTGGGCAAAAAATGAATTTTCCTGGAAAGATTACAAAACTGTTATAGCAAGAGACAGGGTTTTCTTAGGATGAAAATGAGAACTGGTATGAGGGTTCTCAAACATGTTTGGCCTGCAGGTTATTTTAATGTGACAGAGTTGCCATATTGAATCAAAACTTATTTTGCCTGTGAGGAAGCAAGTGTAGGTCAGAGCAGGTGCAGGAAGATGAGATGGAACTAGCTTTTAATAAATGGAGAAAAAAAGAGGCAGAAATAAGGTGGGACAGCTTTTGGGAGGGGTGGGCAGGAAGACAGAGCTACCTGATGAGGTAGTATTATGATGCAGATGAGGCAGATGCAGGAGTATTGTGGAGATGGCTAAGAGATGGAAGAGCTGTCAGTTTGGCTTGTGGACTTTTTTGAGTGTCAGAGCCAGGGCTGGAGGGATGAAGAAGGCTGAGGACGGAGAGCAGCTGAAAGGTTGGCTCGCTGACTTCCCCCTGTTGAGAACTAGTGCTGGAAAGTCAGAGAAGACTAGCAACAGAATAGTAACATAGGGTTTTGCCTACTGACTTCTGCTAAATCTGGCTGGAGGGCTGGAGAGATTTAAAAGCCAGTGTATTAGTCAAGGAGCTTGTCTGTGGGCTGGGAATGGTTGATCACCAAGGAGACCCACTGCCTAGCCCAGGGCTGAGAAGAAACAATCCCCAGATGGAGAACCTGATGAATCCCTGCTGGAAAGAGCAGAAAGGCCGGCGGGGCTGAAAGAGAGGGCTGTTTGACAAAGAATCTTGGGGAAAAGTTTTAGGAGTGGCTGAAGATCTTAGCACTGGGATGTCTGCTTTGCTGTGCTATGTCTGCAGCATTTAAGGGGTATGGGCCCAGTGGGATGAATCACTTCTCACTTTTTGGGAGGGATTTTTAAGGATTACTTCTACTGTTGGAGAAAACAAACCATGACAAGTAAGGATGACTTTAATCCTATAAAATCATTGGTGGAGTCTTCAAGGGGCTGATGGTGAAAAATGGAAATGGCTTCCCACCATACAGGCAATTTTGGGGGGGTGTGCCACTTCTTTTTGAAGACTAGTTTTCTGATGAGCTCTTGGAAGCAACTTCACCATGGTGAAGGGTAGAAACTGTCCACATGACTCCCACACTGACCAGTATTCCCTTCATGGCTCACCCACTCTCAAACCAATATGTCTTTTATTCCTGTTTTGGAGAGGGGTTCAGACCAGAGTAAGATGAAACAAAATGACATCAAGGGCTGTGATATGGACTGCTCCTTGGATGTAAACATAACATTTGGGTTTTTTTTCTCTTTTTACATTTTGGCTTCAAACTAAAACTCTACCTTGGCCATCAGGATGAGTCTAACTTTTTAGCATTTTGCCCTGACTACTTTTATAAACAGAAACCATAGTTGGGGATGGACTTGTTTGGTTGTCTGTGTTTAAAGCATTTCATAGACTAACAAGTAAACACTTTCCTTAGCCAGAAGGCTGGAGCTGAGTTACTAGACTGGCTGATTGAACTGTGTGCCTGTGACTTTCTGGGGACAGAGGTTGCATTTTTCAAACTTTGGCTGATCTTTTCTTTCTTCCCCAGAGACAGGATCAAACTTAAGTTAATAGAACCTGATAGTTACAAATCTTTTCCAAAGAAGAACATTTGATACCAATTTAGAAACTGCCAACTAAAGATTGCCCCTACCCTGAAAACAAAGAGACAAAGAAAAGAGTTCAAAATTGGAGGCTGACTTGGTCTCTTGGATTTCATATTTTTGTGTTTTTCAATATTTTTGTGCATTTCAATATATTTTAGTGTAGAATAAGCAAAACAAAATCATTGTTAACAAAGCTATGAGTACAAATCTACTGTAAGTTTTAAAAAAACGCTACCCGTCCACTTATACAACATTAACCCTTACCATTTTCAAACTTAATTCTGCTCCCAGGACTCTGACACAGGGTGCTCACACCCAAACCAGTCCAATGTTGGAGCTTGGGCCACCTGTCCTTAAGGTCAGGGGTTACTAGTAAATCCACAAGATTTCTCTGAACGATTCACGTTGCATGTTAAACAAGTAATTCAACACGAGGCAAGTGAGCTAATAACGGTTTTGATTCATCATGAGTTTCATCCATGATTAAGTGTCATATAGAAACCTATTTAATCAGTGACCTGAAGTAAGGTGACCCATAAAGTAGGGTCCCTGAGAAGCTTGGGTGGTTTGCTTTTTAAAAAAAAAAGTCTACCTTGTCCAGTCTCTACATGCATCTCGTAAAATGTTCATTTTGATACATTACAAGTTTGACATTCCTTAGTATCTAGTCAGAATTCTGACTGACACCAAACAACAGGGCAGCCCACATATAGTCTCAGTACTGATGGAACGTGAAGGGAAGATCCATTGCATACTGATAAGTAGTGGTGATGGCTGCAGAGAGGCTGTAAATTTATCAAAATATTGGTTAAGTGATGAGATAAGGGAGGTAGCACTATCTTCCTTTGTTTGCTTAGCTTGCAGCTTAGAGCGTTACTACTTTTGGGTTGTGCTGAGAAGTTTAAAATTACAGTGGGCACATCTACACATTCATTAATGCACTTTTGCTACTGTGCATTAAATTTAGTACTTCTAATGTGAGGTACTAAATAAATGCACATTATGCTGCCCTAATGCACAGTAGCAAACGTGCATGCTTTTTAGTGGCAATGCTCAATAGTCTAATTTTACTGTGCATTAGTATATTAGTATAGTTTTTGATGGGACACTCTAATGCAGAGTAAAATAGGCTACTAATGCACATGTGTAGGCATTAAAGCACATTTGTAAAAGTGCCCAGAGTGCCTGTGTTTGCTCATTAATAAATGTTTTAAGTATTTAAATAAATCTCCTCCAACCCTTCTGTGATACGATGTTACCATCCTACTATCCACTGCAATATTTGGTCCTGGGAACAGACTTGTTTAAAATATATCCTAGTGCATGCATTTTCTCTTTTCAGGACTATATTGATACTGAAATGCTCCTATGTGGGGAAAACGTAAACCAAGAAAATCTGCTGTCTTATGCCAGAGAAGCTGCTGATTTTGCTACCAATTACCAGCTGCCTTCCTTGGATTTTGCAATTAATCACTATGGGCAATCAGATGTAGCCATGTTTGATTTTACTTCCATGTATGCCTCTGAAAATGCAGCTTTAGTACGGGAGAGGCAGAGACATCAGCTCTTGGTTGCCCTGGTTGGAGATAGTTTACTGGAGGTAATGTTTTATGCCAAAATAGAATTTTGTTGTTTAGGAGATTTTTGAAAGTTTATTTTAAATGCCTTTGGGGAACACATTTATTTCACAAAATGTTTTATTTGACAGAATAAAAATCAAGAATCTAAAATGTGACTATTGTCTGGTCACCAGCATATCTTTAGATCTTTGCATGGGAAGAGCAGAATTACAAGGGGTCTGAAACATGCTTAAATGACTGTTTAGCAACCTGCAACAGAGAACAGCTTTCCTATTTTGTTGCTTGTTCAGTTTCTGTAACTAACTGTTTTATTTAAGAGACACTATCAAATTGAATTTATTTAAATAATCTATTTTGTTCTTCTATATACATTTCCAGTTCCACAATATGCCTTATTTAGTAGAATGATTGGATTTTTTCCTTCCCATTTTATAAGGTTCTGTCTTGTAAGGAAGAAACTGGCTTGAGTATAATGAATAAATGATTAAATGGATTCTACATAAAATGCTTCCAAATGTACAAAGTAATCAATTAATTACTAGAAGTAACCATAGTCCCCAGAAACCATTTTCCCCTGGACTTAACCTGCCATTCTAAACCGTAGCAGAATAGCTTAACAAAATATATATATATATATATATTCCAGAGAGTAAAGGTAATCTTGTAAAGTCCTTTCTTCTATTTTTAAGTGGAAGTCTGATCATACAGACTGGGGTTTGGCAACCAGTGGCCCATGGGTTGAATCTGGCCCTCAAAGCTCCAATTAGGCATGGGGCATTGGTGGCAGGGAGCTGTGCTGTTGCAGGTCACTTCCTGCTCAGTGCTTCCCTCTGCTGTGGAGGGGACGGGAATCTGCTCTGAAGATGTGTAGGCAGCTAGCTGTTTTGGAGGGGTGTGGAGACTTACAGCTTGCAACCAAAGCAAAGTTGCAAGCTCTGGTCTGCACCAGAAAAAGGCTGCCAACCTCTGGTGTGGACCATTGCTGATACATGTAACTTAGGTGAGTAAAGTTGCTGACTTGTGCAAATGTGTAGACCGCTCATTCCTATTCATATTTATCCACTCCTGCCTTAAGGTATTCTTCCTTTTGTGGTCATTCTTCAGGATGTCTTGCAAAATAGAGGAAATGCTGGTTATTCAGCTGACATTGTTGAACCATGTCATATACATGCATCGCCAGTGAGGATGGTCTAAACATAGCAGCAGACACTTTTATCTTTGTCTTACATTAAATGTCCTGAAACACTGGTATCTTTTTTTCTTTCATTTTCATGCTGTGGTTTTATGCTGTGGTTTCAGTAGCTAATACATGCCTAATAACCTCTTTGACACAGATTCCATTTGATATCGTATATGCTGTATTTCATAGCTCAAAGCAGTAAGCTTGGTCCTCAGGTGGCATAGCTGGTGCAGCCCCCTTGAGAATATGGCCCAGTGGTTTTACTCAAGCCTGTCAGAGTGTACTGCATTGTATTACAACCTGAGAAGTGTACAGTGTAGTAAATGCACAGTGTGTTCCATATGGCCAGATGTTTGAAACTGATACAGCAGATCTTCAAAAAAAAAATCAACACTTTGGCTTAAAATTATGAGGTTTTAGGTAATATGACCCAATATTTTTTTTTTTTTGCCTCCTGACTTGAGTACATCCTAATTTTCCAGCCTTTAGTTTACATTGGGTAAAGTTAATAGAGGCTTTGCAGAGGTGCATGCCTTAGGTAGCTGACTTGGGATACACCCTTGCAAATGGGGAAACCTGGGCAGGTGCTCCTGGGGTTTTAGGGCCCGAATCCTGCATGCTCCAGGAATGGGAATTCTTGGGGAGCTCAGGATTGGACCCTGGAGGTACCTGCCTCAGGTAGCTAGATAGTGCATGCAGCTCCAGACTGCCCAGGGTCTCCTACCTTAAAAGCAGACAGTCACCTGTTGCAAAATAGTGGCACAGATTTATACCAATTATGTCTTGGCCTTAAACTCTGGGCATTTGTGGCATGACAAGGGGCATGGGCATCTATTTGGTTGGCCTTTTGTGTCGTCATAATAAGATTTATGGTGGCATAAAAGCAACATCTGTCTCCAGCCATAAGGGCTAAAAGCTTCTTTAAAAAATTATATATATAAAAAACATTTATGAGTAAATAAATGAGCTAAGTTTTTTCACATTCCCAAAGCTTAGCTTTTAAGAAAAATGGCCAAAATCATGAGAGTTGGCAACACTGGGCACTAGAACTTTCTCTGGCCTATTTTGAGGCTCTACAAAAACCTAGATTGTAGGTTCACCTGGCAAATGCTTCTGTAATAAGTCTGTTTAAGAAAGATGAGGGATTAAAAAGGCTAAACTGTAAATACTTCTTACAGCCCTTCTGGCCAATGGGTACTGGCTGCGCAAGAGGCTTCCTAGCTGCTTTTGATACAGCATGGATGGTGAAGAGCTGGTCTCAGAGGAAACCTCCACTAGAGATCCTTGCTGAACGGTAGGCACTTCCTCTGTTTTAGTCTCTTCTTTCCAAAGATAATTTTAATGGACTTTAGTGATGATGAAAGATTCTGAAAAGGATAATACCAGAAACAAAAATATTCTGCTTGGTTGAAGTAGCAGTGGATTGAGACAGCTAGTTATGTTTCTGCTGCACAACTTACAAAGTCAGAGGCGTAGCAGTCTGCAAGACATTCAGTAGCTTTAATTAACTATTTCGACACCCTGGGCAGAGGTGCCAGAAAGCAAGGAGGGATGCAGGGAGTCAGGCAGAGGGCTGACCTAGCATTCTGCCATTCCAGCATGCCCTCTAAATCAGCACCTGGGGATAGGGTCCCACATGTGGGCACCTGTCCCTCCCCCTCCCGCCCACCTACCCCCCCTGCCCCCTATACAGTCATGTTACTACACAGTATAGTCCAGGTCTTCACTCTTACAGAGTAGGTTTTCAGAACTGAAGCCTGAATCACTGACCCAAACCGGACTGAAACTCTGAGAAAGAGAGCTGAAATGCATTGCATCCAGTTCACAACGCTACAACCCATCTGCTCCCCTAAGCAATTGTTTTAACCAACATGATTTGATATAATTTTAGCCCAGAACAAGTGCAGACCCTACATTACAGTAATTATTTTCATAACCAACATCCAATTTTAGCTGCGTCTTTTTAGTTCATGCTCTGGGCATGACATAACCCTTATTTACTTTAGCTAAATAAGCACAAATACCTATAGTTTTTGATCATATGTTGTTTTGCATAATCTGTTATTGTCTCTACTAAAAATTGTCATTAAGATGCCAGCAAATTTTTGTTTGGCAGTAGCCCTGTGGGTAGAATATGCTAACATTAATGGTTCCAATAGCAGAGACTTCATTTTCTTACATCTGGCTGGGCTGCTTTAGGGACTGATATGTAGTAACTGTTGAGGAACAGCTTTTTTGTGGTAAGCATTCAGTCAGGCTTCTAAATACAGCACTGTCTGAGGCAGTGGCTCACAAATGATGCACATGCAACGTCATTCCAAATGGAAAACTAAACAGAATAGGACCTGGTGGTTGTGGGAATTGCAGGATGACTCAATACAGGACGTTTTGTGACTAAAAGAAAGGTTACTACTTGGGTGGAGATTAAAGAAAAACCAGATGACTTTGCATGGTGTAACCTCCTTGTTTTCTTGCTTTCTTCCTGCCTTGGGAAGACCTGAGCTTCTGTCCATGTTTAACCATCTCAAACTTTTCCCATGCTGAGACAGCATAAGCAGTGGTACAGATGCAGCTGCAGTACATAGTATTACATTCTGACAGTTTCTGAATAGAGGCAAGGGTTGTTGTAAAGTTAAAGTTGGAAAAAAATGTTTATATGCTAATGCCTTCACCTAACATATCCTCATTATTGTTTATAAGAGAGAGCATTTATCGACTCTTACCCCAAACTACACCTGAAAATATCAACAAGAATTTTGACCAGTATACCATTGATCCAGGGACACGGTATCCAAACTTGAACTCAAGCTGTGTTCGACCCCATCAGGTCAGTACTTTAAAGGCTCCCTCTATGATATCAGTGTTCATTTCTGTCCCAAGAGAATTGTGGCTACTGATGAACTGCTGAATAAACAAAACCTCCATAAGACTTTCTAGATTAGATCAGGTTATGTGATAAAGCTTGCAAGAAAAGTGTAGATGATATTAAAATTGCTTGCAGATGTTAATGTTGAAATGAGTCTTAAATTGTTTTTGCTCTTAGGTGAGGCATCTGTATGTTACAAATGAACTACAACAATGCCCTCTTGAAAGGGTAAGCTCTATTAGAAGATCAGTGAATCTTTCAAGGCATGGTATGTGAAATTTTATTCCCCACATGATTCTTCCACAGTTCATGTTCAGAACTTTTATAGCTTATAAAAAGTGACTGAAATAGTCTTCCTATATTGTAACTGCAGAATCAGATATTCGACCCAACAAGCTTTTAACCTGGTGTCGGAAACAGACAGAAGGCTACAGGAATGTTGATATTACTGACCTCACTACTTCTTGGAGGAGTGGCCTTGCATTATGTGCAATTATGCATCGCTTCAGACCTGACCTCTTGTAAGTTATATGTGTAGAGTTTGCTAATCGTAGGATATTGAGTTGTTTATAAAAGTATGGACGTGTATAGGGCCAACCGAAACAAAGCTGATGGTCTAGAGTCCTCTTTTATCATTTGTTTTTGCAACTGGTTGCACAGTATTGCCAAGTTTATATTTTCCAGATGTCCTTGGCCTGGCACGTAAAATGTAAGGCGTATACTTTCAAAGAACTGTATGGGCTTTTAGCCATGTGCTTCTTGTTGACTTCAGTGGGAATTACATGACTGGTTTTAAAAATGTCAGTGCTTTGAAAATGTGCTGGTTTGTATTGTCTTGTGCTTGGAGGCATATTCTCAGAGAATTCTCATAGAAAAAGAAAAGCTATGAACTAGCCAGTTCAGGTACTGCTGCACTCTAGCCATGGTTAAATTGTCTTTTGTGTAGAGCAGTGTCATACATACCAAACAGAGTAACAGATCCTAAGGTCATCCTGCAAGATTGAGACAGATCCAGAAGGGGTGCAGCTGTGTAGTAGCTGTGGCTGTGCCCGAGGTCTGTCTGGAGCCCTTGCTTTTATGTGACTCCAGAACCCAGCGAGTAAGTGCTGCTGCTATTCATTCTTTCCTTTCCCCTGCTGCTGAATTCCATGGGAGGGGCAGGGTGAACAGCAGCTGCATTTACCCCCGGTCTGTGGAGCTGCATGAAAGCAGGGGCTTGGGGCAGACCCCACCCCAGACATCTTGTGAGCTCAGAGCTCATAGCTTATATGGAAATCCAGCAGGAGGCTTTACTGACTGGGCAGTGAGCTCAGAGCTCGCTGAACATATGTAGCACAGTCAGAGTGAGAGGCGAGTAGATTACACTGGTTGCCCTGTTCTTGGATCCACTACTTTTGTGAGTGCACTGCTTGAGATTAACATCAAAATAAATAAAGGAAATTTCTAATTATGGGGATCCTATTCCCATTGCACTGCACTAGATCTAAATTCTTACATGTGAAAGTGTAAGAACGTCTCTTACTCCAGTTCCTTACTGAGAATTCAAATTCTCAGAGCTGAGCTACCAGTAATTTTTGTTGTTGGTAGAACAACATGCTGCCTTATGTTCTCGCAAACTCTCTGGCTTTAGGAGGTGCGTCTCTCCTTTCTTCCTCCACCCTCTTGGCCAGATTACCTACCCCAAAGACTTGGAATTCACAATGGGACTATTACAGACATTTTAAAGGAAAACCCTGAATAGAACAAAATGATGCACGTACAGAACCAAATGCTCTGAATAAATATTGTTGAGCTGGAAGATTGTAATGGCTATCATCAATCACAAGCTGATGTGCGTGCCTGCCACCTTTCATTCCGGCCTAAGTGGAATCAGCAGTTTGGCTTCTTACTAGGTTGTGGTAGGTGGAAACAAAAGAATCTATCATCCATAGTACTGAAGTACTGGGCCTGAGTAAGAACTACCTCTAGAAGAATAAAAGATTTCTGTTACTGATTTTTAAAAATGGGGTCTCTCAGATGCTTTGGCAAGCCATGTGTATAACAGAGAAAGAGAGCAGGAAGCACAAAAAAGCAGTCATAAGTATGGCCCTGAGAGGGTGCAAAGAGAGATTCTTTTGGGCACAGCACTCGCTTACAAGGCAGGCTGAGAAAAGAAATTGTATGCTATTGTTTTTCCCTGCATTCAGGGGAATTGAACTGTGTAAATGAACAGGGTTGCACCTACAGAAAAAATCTGATTGGGACATCAGCATTTACTACCTGTCAAGTTTTGAAAGTTTAACTACTGTGGCCTTGGGCAGGGGTAGCTCTTGGAGTGGAAACTTCCGCATTTAGCTTGAGGAGGAAGATGTTTCTCTACCAGAAGCTATATTTAAAAAAAAAAAAAAAAAAAAAAGGTTCAGTGGACTAGTAAGGTAGTTAAATGTGTGATTAAAATCTAATTATTATACACCTCTCAGACTTATTACACAGACAAGAACTTCACATTCAGCGGGTGTGTGTATGTGTATATGTATATATGTGTATATATACACGTGTGTGTGTGTATTATAGTGTGTGTGTGTATAGGGCTCCAATCTATATATGAATATAGTTATATATCATATATAACTACTACAATTGTGTATGGTATGCCTTCTTATAAAGAAATGTAATATTAGCCTCCACAGACTATTCATTATTCTATCTGGTCAGGAGCTCAGTGATTTTTTTTTTTTAATACTAACTGAAATAAGCTGCGTAAAGATGATGAAATGTGTAGTTTGGAGAGGAGTGTTTTATATAGTATTCATAGTTAATAGAATATCCTGATTTTTCTCTTGGACCAGGTCAGAAAATTTTTTGAAAAGTTCTGTTCAGTTGAGCACAATTTTGAAATCTACCATTGAGAACATTGTAGGAAAAAGCACTTTTGGTGATATTCTTGAGCTATACGCTTGGATAGACTTCATGGAGACAACCTTGCAAAAGATGCATACAGTCTTTAATCATGTAGCACTTTAGTTGTGATATTTCCCAATGAAGCAAACAGAGCTTCATTGTTTTTGAAAGTGGCAAAAGTCAGGCTTCCACTGATACTAATGCTTTACTCCCTCAGTGACTTTGATTCTCTGAATGAAGAAGATGCTGTCAAAAACAACCAGCTGGCGTTTGACATTGCGGAGCGAGAGTTTGGAATTCCTCCTGTCACCACTGGGAAAGAGATGGCGTCTGCTGGAGAGCCTGATAAGCTCAGCATGGTTATGTATCTCTCAAAATTCTATGAGCTATTTAGAGGAACACCTCTGAGAGCAGTTGGTAAGTGAGCCTATATTGTTCTTAAATGTTATAGAACTTGGAAGTAGGTCATTTCATCCACAGTGCCTCTGAACCCCTGAAGTTGGGCCAATGTCCATTTCTCATAGCAACGGTATCAACTGCTGTGGAATGCTTGAATGACTTTTGCTGTCGGCAGCGGCTATCTCATGCTTAAAAGGGAAGAAAAAGCCCACTTGATTTGGATGAAAGCTTGCATTTTCTTTGTGGCTTTAGGGGATAGGAGCATACTGAGTAACTACCTTTAGAGATCTCATTAAGGTGATGTCAGACTGTGACAGAAGCTTACTAATGATGTAGTTGTCCTCCTCCACCTTTATTCCTGTGTGGTTTTCTTTTAACTATTTTTTTCAAATCACACCTAGATTTTTATTAATGTATTTTATTCTGCCAAGAGTGTAGGCTCCAATACTCTTATGCTATTCATTATTCCCAGTAATAGACCACAAAAGTGTTTTTGTCTCCCACAGAAATAAAGCTTTGAAAAATGACTGTTTTATGTGACTATAATATCTTGAAATGGTGCAAACATCTTCATTTGAACAGATGCTGTGGACAAGCAAAATGGAGAAAATAATGACCTTTCCTCTGCAAAGTCCTCAAACTCCATCTTTAACTACATCAATTTGACGTTACCAAGGAAGCGGGTACCAAAAGTAAGAAGCTTTACCCCTTACATCTTCATCTCCTTTTAAAGAGGTTAAAAGGACAATATCAAACCCAAAATGTAGCTTTTGCATAATTCCTACATAACAGAAGACAAGCAGAAATAAAGTAATGGTCACATAGCAACAAAACAATAATTCCAATGCAAACAGATTTTAAAGAAAAATCATGTTTGATTTTTGTAACCTGGACTTTTAGAGGTGCACCAATACATTGGTCCCGTATCGGGTTGGCACTGAATATGAGAAAAATTGACTGTATTGGCAGTCTGCTTTTTTGGGCTGGTGTGGCCAGTAACGGCACTGATAAATGCCCCATGCATACACAGCCATAGTGCAGCACGCGCGCAGGCCAGGCACGCAGCCCGACAGCATGGAGAGCAGCCAGGGTGGCTGGTAAGTCTTTTGTGGGGAAGGGGGTATGGGGAGGCAGATTGAGGCCCCCGTGGTGAGGGAGTGGGGCTGGGACAGGGGCAGGTACTGCACAGCCAGGGCAGAGCAGAGGACAGAGCCACAAGTGGCTCATCTGGGGAGGGGGTGGCTCCCACCGCAGCATGCACCCTGGGAGGGCATGGGGGGCATGTGTGCCCCCGGGTCTGCTTGCAGGGCAAGGGAGGGCTACCACTGTGGGCTGGGACCAGGGCGGCACTGGCCTCTTCCTGGTGGAGGGGTTGGGCTTGCCCCGCTTGGGGATGGCGGTGGTGGCAATGGGAGGGGGGTTGGGGAGACTATGAGAAATATTTTGTGGTGACTGCAGCCCCTCTCAACCCCCTTCCCAGTGCTGCTGGTGCCTGCCCTGAGCACAGCTCAGCCCCTTGCCAGGAAGAGCTCAGTGCTGCCCCCGGCCCCAGCCCACATCAGCAGCCGGCTCTCACCCCACGCGCAGCTCTGGGGGCACACCCCCCCATGCCCTCCCCAGGTGTGCATAGTGCCTGCCCCAGCCCCACTCCCTTCCTCACTATGGGGGCCTCGATCTGCCCCCCCACGTCCCTTCTCTCCCCCCTCGCCCCTTTCTCCACAACAGACTCACCAGCTGGACGCTGCTCTCCACGCTGCCTGGTTGCTTATTGGAATTGGATCAGTATTGGCTGATATGGCTCATGAAAAATCAGCCATCAGTATCGGCTCAAAAATTCTGTCGGTGCACCCCTACTAACATTGCTGCACTATGCTCTGAAATTGATTAGAAACTAACAATGATCATGATCAATTATTTTTTTGCAACTGAAAAATTGCTTTTAACTTCAATGGGAATTTTGCATGTACAATCAGTGAAGTACTAGGCTCTCTTTGGAAAAAAAATCTAACAACTCTACATTTATTTTCCAGATGATTGTCGTGTTTTTTTAACACAGAGAAACACATTTATATTTAAGATGCATATTTCTTAGCCTGGCAATGTCAATTTCCAGAGACTTTCTCCTGTAGCTTTATTCAATTCCAGATTGCTCTTCTGTGAGCAATATAGAAATCAAGGATGTTTTAGATGATTTATGTCTGGCCAATTTTTGTTGTTTTTGTTTTACACACTACAATGTATAAATTAAAAAATATATATTATGAAATATTACAGACTTGCAAGAGCTATGGGAAGATCCAGTACTTTCCCTATGTAAATTAAAAGTTTCTTCATCAAAGTTATATTGTTATACTATGTTGCTTTATAGGAGACAGCACAGTCTGTTGCCATGATGCATATAGACTCAAATAATAATTAAACCTCTGGAATTGATTTTTACTTGTTTAATATCTTATAGTAATGATTTGAATGTCTGAGGAATAACATAGTGAAGGTTTATAGCACTGATGCCACATTTTCATGTTTCAGTGTCCAGAATGCTTAGAACCCAGTGTTGAAATTAGAATAGTAGACATAATTACTTATAATTAAAATTCAGTGGGAACACTCACCAAGCATAATATTTAATACTGTAAAGGTATATCTACGCATCGCCCTATAGCAGTGTAGTGATCATGCAGGTCTACACATGATCAACAGCTACATTATCGTAGCTGCATGCTCCAAGTCAGGGCAAGCACATGTGATGTGAAGAGAAATTATGTCCTAATTAACGATTCCTGTTACCAATCAGACATTCAGAGAAGAGGATGAAAAGAAGTAGATACATGTCTAAAGTGATTATCACCTAGGGCCCAGATTCTGCAGACCCTTAGGGCATGTCTATCTGGTGATATGGCACCATACTGGCACAGTAAGGTGGTTCCTGTACCATGCATGCAGCAGTTTGATTTCTCAGCTATTTTGCCTTAGTGACACAGTATACCAGGGGAGCACACCTCTATGATGATGTAGCTGGCGATCGAATATAGACCTGCATGACCATATTGCCATACTGCATTGTACATGATGTAGCGCATTGCTACATCACTGTAGGGCGACATGTAGATGTGCCCTTACAGTATTAAACATTATTCTTGGGACTGAGTGTTCCCACTGAATTTCAGAATAGTAGACATAATTGCATATAATTAATTTCAAGACTGGGTTCTAAACATTTTGGACTTCCACTGAAGTCAGTGAAACTTTGTAAGGCGTCTGAGTCAGCAGTATCTGATACAGGATCAGAGCCAATGAGAGTATAGGGCTACCACTTTGGAGACTTGCCATATACTCATGTAGAATTATACTGAAATATACCTTTCACAGTTTTAAGCTTCCCTCCACTCTTTAGTAAAAACCTACAGCTAAATGAGATAGGTAGTGGGGGGGGTCAGTCTTTCATGTCCAACCCCACCCTTATCTTTACTTTTTAAAATAAGAGCTCTTGCAAGATCTGGCTTGAAGCCAACCTCATGTCTGTAATTTTTGAAATCTAACTGCTGTAAATTCTAACCATCCAAACCAAATTACAGCAGCTGGTGTTTCCTGAAACACAGAATAATGCAAACCTGTGAGAGGTTTGGTTTTATTTCCTGAGATGTCCATGACTCTTTCTGTAATAATTCCAACAGTCATGAAAGTCTCGCTTGCAAAAGACCCACTTCCTACTATGTTGTAACTTTAATCTATTGCACAGACATAAACAGATTTTTTCTGCCTGTACAGGCATGTTAGATTTTTCTTAGTTTTATCTTCCACTGCCTTGCAGATTAACTTGCAAAAGTGACAGACAGAAGACAGCTTTTCTACTGTTTTCCAAATCTAGTGACCTTAACAGCATTCTCTTTACTTGTATGTGTAATATAAATTTTCACTGTTTTACTAGGCTGGCTAGAAATTTGTCTCCACCTTGTCACTTTCAATTCCAATGTAAACATAATTTTTCTAACCCAGAAATTGCATTAGATCTTGCAAAGATTTCCTAGACTGACTTGTGTCTTACACATTGTTAATTCCATAAACACATTTTTAAATCATGTGACCAGTCAACCACCCAGTAATCTCATATATCCTTATTAGGAAACAACTTTTTTACCCACCATCCACTTGCAAACAAAACAAGACTGTGGCACGCTTACCATCAAGCCCAACCAGAGGCGCACACCACATGAGTAAATAAATATTGTCCTCTCTTAAAAAGGATGACTTCATTGAGAGGAACTTTTTCTTATTGCCATGTTGCTACTCACAAAAAGTGGACTTTTAATAGTGGAAACCTTCATATTGCACTTTTTCTACCAGTCATTAAGAAGACAGACACTAGAAGAGTGGAGAGGAGGAGATTATTAGAATAGTCCCGAGTGGGAGGAACAGCTTTCAGTAGTTCTTTTTATTAAATCTTGGCATGTGAGAGATCAAGCTCACATGCCAAGCATGTGTGAGCTGCAAATGTACAGCATCTTTTAAAACAATAATTACTGCCCTCTCGTGAGAAGCTTAGATAAGACAAACAATTAGATTAGATTTTGCTTTGTGGTTTCTTGCTGGTGCCACCATCACAAAGCTTCCTGCTTTATCTCAGCCTCCAAATCTCATACTTTGTATATCCTTAGCCTGTACTCAGGGAGCCAGAATACCAAGGCCACTTCTTGTGCTGGAAGCTCTGTAGGCGTTAGCAACCACTGCTAATATGGAACACAGAAACTATTGCCCTGTAGCACCACTCAGCTGAGGACAGGAAGTTAAGAATACTATCACTATGTGAGGCTGCCAGGGAAATGAAGCTTGATGGAGTGTAACTACCCACGTTAGAAATGGGCATAACTTTAGATTTTAAGATCACTCCCTGTAGAAAGTGACATAGGACACTTTCTAGAAATATAAATAGGCATGTACTTAATGTTGCATCTTGCAGAGAGCTGGCATTTTCAACAAAACAGTATTCCTTAATGACATTATAGAGTGTTGCTTGATGCTGACCTTGGGAAAGGAGTGCCACATCCTGAACTGGCAGCAGTATCTGGCTTTGCCTTGGGTCTTATCATTTGTTGAATGGAGGACCTCAAACCTATTTTGTGAGAGTCTTGGAAATTGCTGCCTGAAGTTAGTGTAGCTGCAGCTGGTTTGCTAATGTGTGCTGGACTGGATAATGTTTTTCATTTTCCTATTAGTGTCAGCGGTGTTCCAGAGGAACTGAAATTTCCTGCACTCCAAACTGTAAAATGAGTTTTTGGTGTTTACATAACAAGGATCACAGTCCTCAGGATTGGAATCTCTAGGCAATTGGTTCTTTTGAGGTCCAGCTTTTTAAGAATATATAATCAAATCCTATTGTATAATATTTTGAAAGGCAACATTATCCTGTGCTCTTCATTCTCTCATGTGGTCTCTGCTTTATGTACAAACTATTCTTCAGGACATTTTGTACCATTACACTGCAGTCTTGCTGGGCAGACTGATGCTCACACAGGGCATGTAACTACATTACTGAGAGCCAGTGCTTGAAAGACCTTGTACCCCTATATAAAAGGAATCAAAATATTGTTGTCTGTTTCTTTTGGTATTTGCCCAGAAGTTATGGTTGGGATAGTTTTTCATTTAGTGCATAATGATTTATTATAAGCAGGGAAAATATAAAGAGGAAGCCTGCATTCTTTGATCTTCCTTCTTTTCATTGCTGGCCCAGATTACTGCCTTACAACTTGGAGAGAGAAAGCAAATCACTGAACTATAGTTGACTGTTATAAATATACTGTATAGGATGATGTTTACCAGGCAGCAAGATTTTCTGTCATGATTACTTCCATAATTTATATCAGTTCATTGTAAATTGAATCATAGGTCCAGGACTGGCTTTATTATTATTATCATCATCATTATTATTGTTATTAATAGATGCATGTTTTAAAGCTCTAAATTGTTTGTGTGTGCACACATTTAGAATACAGAGTATATTGCCTGTCTCTTCATATGATCTCTTATTTAACACTAAAGTTGTTAAATGTATGCATGACTCTTAAGTATGACAACCATCCAGTTGAAGCAACTGTGAGCATGACTGGGCATAAGTTCTTTGCAAGACTTCAGTCAATTTGATTAAACTTATGGAGATAAGAATTGTTTGACTAGGGAAGCAATGCTGTATTTTGCTTTGAAGAAGAGCATTTGGCAGTCTAGGGCAGGGGTGGCCAACCTACAGCTCCGGAGTCCAAACTTCTGAGTTCAAACTGAGTAATATGCTTGCTGTGAACAGTCGCATCACATGACATGACATAACGGCTATGGAAGATGGGCACTCTGTGCTTGTGCAAAGATTCAAGGAGGCGCATATTAACTTCTGAAGAGCCGCATGTAGGTCCGGAGCTGCGGGTTGGCCACCCCTAGGGTATGTGCATGAATTTGCTTGGAATCACTTGTATGAGCATCTTTCTATTCATGAATTTCAAAGCATTTAACAAGCAATCATTCACTCATCCTGGAAACAATTATTTTTATATAGTTTTCATATTAGGAGGGAGCCTGAGACCAGGAGGGGAGAGATTCAACAAAGCCTTTAAGTGTGTCCACTGTCCCAACAAAGCCTAGTAATAGGTACATTCTTACCCAGCTGGAGCCCACCTTTAAACATGGATACTCTGCCTGAGATCAATAAAATTATTCACATCGTGCTGAGCTAGGGCCCTAATCAGTAGCAATAGTGGAATAATCCATCAAGCCTATAACTCTTAACCCACAGTCCCATTCTTCAGCAACACCAGATTATTTGCTAAATCTCATAATTTCCTACATGCTGAGATATTCAGCACAAATACAGTTGTGATCAACATAACTTTGTTTACCTTTGTTGCTGCAGGTTGAAAGAAAAGAAGAAGAAAATGAAACAAAGAAAAGGCGTCGAAAGGGTCTTTCTGGTGGCTTTGAGGAGGTCGGTGTTTAGTGGCGTTGGCATGCTTAACACTGTCCTTTGCATAAAGCCCATGATAATGGAGCATCAGGACGCAAACTTAACAGGGTCCTGGCCTTTTATATTTGACAGAAATCTGCCAAATAAGATGTACATCCCTATTCCTAAGTGACCTGTAATCTTTAAATAACCTTGTTGTACACTGTGGTATAATTGGGCCTTTTTAAATATTTAGTAAAGGAAAGTACGAGACTTACATTTCATGATCCACTTTTGGATTCAAGAAATTCTTATTTACACTTCTTTTTCCAGCTCATTTAGGAACTTTTAAAACAAAATTAAATAACAGCATTTCCCTCTAGCATGTGCCCCTCTCCCTTCATGGCTGTTTGTCTTTATGGCTTCCTGGTCTGTTTAGCCTCTGTAATCTGAATTTTTTTCTGTCTCTCTTGAGGAGTGGGTCACCAGAGATAACAGTCCATCTCATACTTTCATTTATTGTTTTGTTTTTTTTAATTTGTTCAACAGTAGTTTTTTAATAGCCTATAAACAGTTTCCCTTTTCTCTTCACTGATAATGATCAAGTGTCACAAATTGGTATCTTCAGTATCCTCTTTCTCATGTCATAATATTTGGCACAATAGCTGCACTTCTCAACTTTAATTTTTTTGTGTTGTTTTGTATTTAAACAGGCTTCGAGTTTTTCAAACCAGGAGACACATTCTGGGAAAGAACAGGGTGATGGTAGAGAAGGGGTGAATAAAAATAAAGTCAAATCCATGGCAACACAGCTGTTGGCAAAGTTTGAAGAAAATGCCCCAAACACATCACTTCGGAGGCAGGTGAGTGATAAATGAATGTAAAATTCAGCTTTGAAATTGAAGCAGTCTTTCCTTTATGATGGTAGGTTTCAGATAAAAATTGGATTGATATTGAATTTGGGCTTGCTTTTCTTTTTATTTTTAATTGCAAATTTTATACATACCAGATATAACTTTTTTCTGCATTTATACAGAAATGTAATTAGTGATTTTATAGACTGTCCATGTCTACTAATAGATGGGGGATTTGTGTTGTCAGGAAATCTGTTGTGAAGTTGTATCTAAAGTTGTGGCTTTGTAGTAGAGCTGTTTTGTTTGTTTCTTTGTTTTTATGGAGCTAGTTTGACTGGTTAAAGTATTGATAAAAAATTCTGGTGTCCATGTTCTGTCAATGCTAGTAGATGACTCTAAAGATCTAGGGTAATGATTTCATTATCTCCCCTTGCATCCCCTCCACCTCCCACCCAAGAAGAAAAACATAATCTAAAGTACAGAGCAAGGCTTTACTATTAGAAGCATGTGAGCAACTCATATCCTCATTCATGAGTTTCACTCGCAAATGGAACATGCCATGAAACTTTTGCAGTTGGCCATTTTTGGCCTGGGCAAGTCTACTTACATGCCTAAAGGTAATCCTGTGCTTAAGTATTTTTCAAATTGAGAGATTATATGTTTAAAATTGCATTTTATTTAGTAAAAAGAATTTAGCTTGTCATCCTAACAGATCATAAGGAAGGAAATGCACTGAGTTTATATTGGTAAATTAACTGTGACATTCCTTCATGCCCTCTAGCTACTACAGTTTATTTACCTTTTTAGACCTCTATTCACTTTTCTGGGATGGTGTTTCTCCCCCCCGCCCAATTATAACCTACATGTTCCTGAAGTGACTTCCTTGTTTCCTCTTTGTTATCACAAAACATCACCCCTTACACAATGTGTCTGTCAGCATGGATGTCTTCCATGTTGTTTCAGAATACCTTGTTGTGTTATTTTCTGACTATCTTTGTATTTGCTAAGTCAGAGGCAGGTGGGCAGAGGCACAGGGTGCAGTCTGGCAGGGAGGTGGAGTGGCATGCTGCACCAGGCAGGTGGATGGGCAGGCACTGCTGCTGCTGTGGGCAGACTGGAGCAGACACAACCCCACATGCATATGCCTGGCCCAGCTCTTCCTGAGCAGCAGCTGGAGGTGGGGGTGTGGGCTGGGTTGGGCATCACTGCTCCTGCCTGGGGTAGGGATTGGCTGAGGCGGGGCAGGGCAAGGGAAGAGAACTGCTGTGTGCATGGGTTGCTCATGTGCGTGTGCATGTGCGTATGTGTGGTGCCCTCCTGATCACGGTGCCCTGGGCACTTGTCCATGTCACCCACCTCTAAGGCTGGCTCTGAGTACAGTTTTATTGGAGGAACAGGCCAGTAAGTTGAGCATACTTGAAAAGAACTGTGCAAAATACCTCGTTTTAACTCCTCCTGTGGTCTCTACACCAGCAATTTTTCTTTCTTTTTCTGCCTCTGTCAAATAAGATTTCAAGCTCTCTAACCTTTTCTCTGATATTTTCTACTGTTTTGTATGGAACAAACAAATGGTATACAAGGAGTTAGTAGATAAACCAGCCCTTCTCTCTTCCTGTCATCTTCCTGTCAATCCTCGCTTTGCTAAGCCTCAGGATCCAAGTCCTCCACCTCAGCCCAAATGGCAGGTAGGAATATCTAAGAATTACATTTAACAACGATCCTGTTTTCACTTACTGCTGTGGGACTCAGTGTCTTTAAATGACTCCTGCACACCCAAATCAGTTCCCAAATAGGATTCCATTGTTGGTAGCTCTATGTAGTGATTGCATGCAACAATTGCTGTTTAAGGTTTTGTGCCAGGCTGTTAGTGTTGCTGCTCAATCTAAGGTTCATGTATCCAAAAGACTGTAAAAAGATATAACACGACATGAGTTGTTTTGTTTTTTCTTAGTCCAATAAATAAAAAAGGATCATAACAAAGCTATAATGATATGTTACCTGATCCTGACTGGATAGGAAACCTACTTAAAATGATTAGTGTTAGCATTCAATACACCCTAAAAACACATGGGTCAATTTCTGTTTCTTTAATCAAGCAGCACTCCCATAGACTTCATTGGAGAAGTCATGCATTTATATTAGAAGATATTGGAGTAGCAATGTGTTAATGCATGCATGTACTATGTGGTTTGTTTTGCTGGAATGAAACGGGAAATGCAGTTTTACTTAATACAACCCTGTGATTCAATATGAGTAGTGATGCAACAAAGGGTTTAGGATTGGGTGTAGATAAGTATGTAAAAGTTAAATTGACTGTTTATTTTTCCATATCTTTTGTTTGGAGTCTCTAATGTTTTATGATGACAATCTCTGCTGAAAACCCCACTGCAATATTATATTCACACAGTAGAACCGTGACAAACTGAGGAAGTTTTAAAAGCAACCTCTTATCAAATAACATAAAGACCCATTTTAACATTTATTTATTTATTTATTTATTTATTTATTTATTTATTTATAAACCTGATCTTTGTGGCATGCCAGTAATAATTTGGAATAAACCAGAGACCTGAATTGCACGTGAAAATGGACCAGGGGGCAGAGACATAGCAGGACAGCTTTGTGCCCTGAGCAGCTGTAGGGTGCAGGCCAATGCTGGCTGCCACGATCCCAATGGCAGTGTGTGCAGCTGCTGCTACTGCAGCTATTTTTGTATTGTCCCTTACACCTCACCACCTCTGTTAGGCTACTGCCAGGAGGTCTGCTGTAGAACATAAAGCCATCTCCCATACTCTCTCTTTCTGAAGATGAGGTCAGTGAAAAATCCAAGTAATCAAAAAGCTTTGATTTTGTTGAACTGGCTGAGAAGTACTTTCTAAAAGTAAAATGGGGCCATTTTACACAGTAGTTTTAGGTGCTATCTGGAGCTCTTACCCCCTGCATTGGCTGCACTGAAACACCTTTTAAGTGTCTTACAGCACTCATTATTTGATTTAAAATTACACCACTCCAGAGCAAGACTATATTCAATCTGCCCAAGTTTTCTTCTTGTCCCATTAAGGTGTGGCCACTTCCCACAGTTATTCTACCTAATCTGAAGTCCTTCAGCATCCCAGGATGCAGTGGACAAGCAGGGCCACAGTGGGCCAGGGGGTGGGGGGGTGAGCTCTGGAGAAAACAAGGATCAGGCCATTCGGATCTCAGGTGGTTCCAGGGTGGTGGCAGGCTGAACTCTGGAGAAAAAAAGGAGTAAGCCCATTCGAGCTCAGCTGGCTGGGCAGTGCCTGAGCTCTAAGGGGCCAGATCCTTTTTTTTTCTCTGGAGCTCACCCCCTTCCATGCTGCCACCGGCAGGAGCAGCAAACCAGTCTGGGTGGCAGTGGGGGGAGGATAGGCTTCAGAGAAAAGAAAAGATCAGGGTCCTCAGATTTCAGGTGGTGCCTAGATAGCCGGTTGCCAGCCTGAGCCAGTGTGCAGGGGGTAGGCTTCAGAGGAAAAAAAAATCAGGATCCTTGGAGCTCAAGCAGCGAGCCAGTCTGGGTAGTAGGAAGCAGTGTGGCCCCCAAGCACTCCAGGGCTACAGCTGCCTGGCGGGAGCAGTGAGCCACTCCTGCCCCTAATGTATTTATTGGCATTGCAGCCAATTCCAATAAATACTGCAGAGTAAAAATGAAATGCAGAAAATGTGAAGACCTTGTGGCTGACAGCACTGACTTGGTTTGTACTAAGAAATACTTTTCATAGAGGCTCCTAGTCCTGCCCCTATTTACCAAGCCTCTAGTGGCAAGTCACAGCTGTACAAGTGAAGGATAGTCAGTCTCATCAGAGGTGGATTGTCTCCTTATGGTGCAACTGCTTCACTAAGCCAATTAACATTTGTTCAGCTTACAGCCTAAGATGTAAAAAGGGTCATCTTTGTTGTACTTGCAATGGGCATTTTGTTTATCAGGATCTTTATGTACATTTAAATAAATTGGTCAGGCATCCTAAAATAAAGGTCTGGCTTCAATAAAATACCAATGAGAAGATCACGTTTAATTGCAATACAGGCGACCCTCACCATTTGCAGGGGATATGTTCTGGAGATCCCTGCAAATGGCGAAATCTGTGAATATGGCACTGTGGGGGTGGGCCTGGTTGCACTGGCAATTGGCGGGAGCCCAGTGACAGCAAGCGCGGAGTTCCCGAGGAGCACCTGTACGTATTTAAGATGTGGGTTCGGCATTTGCGAATATTTGAAACCTCAAATGCCATACCCATGAATAGTGAGGGTTTCCTGTACAGAGCCTCCATTACAGATCAAAGGCCATTTTTTGTAGTCTGAATTTTTTAGACGCTTTTTGAACTGCTGCAGCCCCCCCCGCCTGGCTCCCCCACAACCA